AGAATAACCTTCCCACCATATGCAATCAACAGATGTTTGGCGTAGTTCAAGCTAGCCATTTGAGTTTCTTTTAGTTCACCGTGGGGAGCCGGGCCACAGTGACAACTTAGTGGCTTTCTGCTTGTCAGTAATAGGCGCGAAACCGTTTGGGAAGAAACTAACTAAGATTAATGGTCAGAAACATATGTTTTTAGGGAGAAGAGACCGAGATTTCATTGCATAGGTGAATATATATATATATATATTATATCATATAATAGACTATTAATGCTATGCCGTATTCGCGTAATCGGGGATGAATGAATAGAATAGATTAGAATAGAATGGAATGATTTTTTATTACATAATACTTATTGAAAGTGATTTTTTATATACCACTAGTTTGGAAAATATCTCTGTCCTGTGAAGAACCTGCAAGAAACCTAAACATAAACATTAAAGATATTTCACTTAACAATATTTTTGTTTATACAAATTTTAAATGAATTTTCATAGAACCAGCATGGTGGTGATCACCTTATTCCCAGGGGTTATTTTCCTTCATGTATTCCTTGATATATAATATAACCCTAACCCCTTTTTTTGTACAGTTTTTCTTTAATAATATGCTATGCTATGGATATGCTATGGACGCTATCCGCTTACTTATTACAATTGCATGAAAACTACCCGTGTGCGCTTTTGTGAACATCCCCAATGAGCTACAAAAGTGAGGCAGTCTCAACAGTACCCTGAAACTGTTGTTATTCTGTACTCTAAGTACGCTGTATGCCTTTTGCGTGTAGTTGACCTACAAATTTAAGGTATAAAATTATAGACAGTATTGCTTAAAAAGTGTAATTTTAACTTCACGAGTGTATCGTGAGAACCTGCGGGCCAGCAAGTTGCATCTAAAAGCCAGCGAACTCCGTTCTCTTTCCAAATCTAACTAATTGCTCAGTGATTCATTGACGCAATGACCAATATACTTAAATTGAGAAACCTGTTTTAGCGTAGTCCCCATTAATTTTAACTTAAGAAAGGACAGGTATGTTTTCCTCCCGGCTTTAAATACAATGCATTTGTTTTTTCTTGCATAATACCTAAGACCGCGCACTTTTGCATATCGCTCACAAATAGTGAGCAGTTTCCTAAGAGCGTTTATCGAGGGGCTTAAAAGCACCATGTCATCGGCATAATAATGTTATTAATAGAGATCCCATGTACTGAGCAGCCAAGCTGACCACCTTGTCGTACCCACCCAACATAATGGATTTGATTTGTACCAATATTTAAATAATTTTCTAAGCTATATTTGAAGATCTGTTTTTGTAGCAATTTAGTCCAACAGATTTTCGTATGAGACAAGATCAAAAGCTTAATAAACAAACAAAACCTTAACCTTATTAAGGTCTAAAAACAGGCTTAGACTGGGGATTTCCTACATGTATAGTACTGAACGGTATTTTTTAAAACAAAGGATTGCAGTTTCGTTAGATAACCCAGCTCCATAACCGAACTAGGTATCATGTTAATTTAAGTGCCGTTCAAGCCGACCGTCAGCACTCTCGCTATAATGGTAGCAAGTGAAATGGGTCTATAGTTATTACTACTAGATACATCACAAGTTTTATTTTTAACAATAGTAACTACCAATATCTTTATGAGATTTTCTGGCAGGTATGAATGCCCAATACATAACAAGAAAAATAAAGCATAAACTTGAGGCAAATGTGTACCTGCATATTGCAAGTCTCTAGTAAGTGAGTCATCTCCAGGTGACTTCTCCTAGTCTTGCCTTTTATGATGAACGCTACCTATTTGGCGGTAAAATGCACATGATAAACTTCTCCAGATTTATTAGCATTTCTATTTGGTTGCGATTTAAATATTATAGTGGAGATTCAACTTTAAAATATTTTAAATAATTCTGTAAAATGCGCAGGCTTACTAATGCCCTCCACGCTCATAGGTAAGCCAGGTCTTGGACTTAAGTTATTGGTCATTTTCGAAAAATTCTTAAAGTTTTTTGAAGAGTGGTGAAATGCAATAATTTTCCTTTTAATTTTATTTTTATTGTCCTGACAATCTATGTTTTGTTTTAAAATCTTTCTTTCTTCGCACATCTTATTGAAAATTGGAATGTAAACCACATTACCCAATAGTTTACCCAAATTAGAAACGCAAGTTACTCAATTTAGAAATACACCACAGTTTACTCAATTTAGAAACGCAAGAGTGGCTTCCCTCTGAGCACTGCCAATATATTTGTTCCATTTTGTTACATTTTTTTTTACCATTACTCTCTCGTGAGGCTTCTGTATAAATTGTAAAAATATTTTCAAACATATTACCTAAAATACATTTAAGTTTTCTATCTACACATAAATTGTCACAACATACTCTAAATTCCATCAGAAGGTCTATATGTACTAATCTCTTTGCACAACGTTTAGTGTACCTTGATAATTGGTCCTTGTTTCTCTCTCCCCAAATAACCCTTTTTGGTATACTTCATTTTTAGGTTTTTTTTTTTATAGGATAAGTGTGACAAACGAGCACACAGTCCACCTGATGGTAAGTGGTTGCTGCGGCCCATAGACATCTACATCTATCCTCGTTTACGAATCAAAATGCAGATGCGTTGTCACCCGTGAGGACTAAGATGGAATGCCTCATTTCCAGTAAAAAGAGCCTCCGGCCACCTGCACTCACCAAGCGAAACGCAGAGGTAAACCTCTACTTCACGCTGGTATTCTGTGAGGTCGTGGTACCACCCCGGTTAGAGCCGGCCCATCCGTGCGACAGCAAAAGCTGCCGCGTGGCTCTACCACTGTCTAAGTTGTAAAATTTTCAAATTACATCTGATTTCTAAAGGAAAGTGATTGAACCACGACATGTTATAATGAACAATCACACTCTTTACTGAGTGTTATAGGCTACTTGCTAGTGGCTCTAGGAAAAACATCGTGAGCAAACATGCATTTTTCTGGAATATATTTTAAAGCCATGCAATGTATGCCAATTAGAAATGTGAACTCTACTTGACAACAAGTTTATCTTTATTAGTATTAAAAAAAACTAGCGACATTCCATGACTGGGTGGGATCTATTAATGTGACATTATTAAGATTTAAGATAATCTAAAAAATATATATTTTATCATGATTTCAAAAAAAAACCAAAGTTTTTCAAAAAAAAATAGCATAAATCACCCCTGCGATTGTTATCTGTAAAGTTTCATTACAATCTGTACAGTCATTTCAACGATTAGCCCGGACAAACCGACAGACAGACAGACAAAAGTTTTTAATGTGTTACTTATGTCTTAATAGTATGCAAATAAACATCTCAGCTAAATAAAAGATAATATTTCGATATAATAGACAGACAATGTGTTTATAATCGGCTAGGAAGTCATCTTGATAGACATTATGATAGGAAGGCATTCAAATTTTCACATCAATAACAAAGTTAAAGCTTTGTAACACGGAAATATACTCGGAATACTTTAATTAAAATTCCAATGTTCAAAAGATTTAATATTGTACCATTTCGAAATTCTTCGTTGCCTTTCCAGCAGAAAATAGTCACTTAGAAATTTTTGACATTGACATGTAAAATATTAGAGTAAAGGAACCTAAACAAAAGGCATTGATTAAGAGCTATAAAGATCTTTGTGAGAATACTTGGTAAAAGTAGTGAAAATATTGTATTGTCATCGATTCTCAATACGTCTACAAAATTTTAGATTATTCAGACGTCTGATAGTGTGTGAAAACTGAACTACGAAATTTCCTTACATCTAAACATACATAGCGATATGTATTTGAATATTTATCCTTTAAAACACATTAAAAAAAAGCGGAGAAGATGGAATAATTCCCATTCAACTACAAAGAGGTATCGATGTCCTTCTTCCATATCTAGTTAAAAATCTTCAGAGCAAGTTTTGCATGTATTCCAAAATGATGGATAATCGTCAAAGTTCTATTTATACCTAAGACTGGTAGAAAGAACTATCATTTACCAAAGTCTTTTATATCTATAAGCCTATATTCTTTTCTTATCAAAACATTGGAGAAGGTTATAGATAGATATATTAGGGATGTAGCTCTAGCTACGAGGCCCACTTATTTCAATCAGTATGCTTAACGTAGAGGCAAATCTACGGAAAGAGTCCTAATCAGTATTATTCACAGGGTCGAAAAAGTGCTAAATAGTAAAGAAATAGCTCTCTGTGGCTTACTAGATATTAAGAGCAACTTTGAAAGTAACCCCACTTCCCTGCTGATCGGGAGCCTGACATCTAAAAATCTTGACTCCATGACCACCAGGTTTCTAAAGTCGATGCTCTCAAAAAAGTGACAAAAATAGCGCCATTTCAAACTTCAATTCAGGTTGCAACTACAAGGAGGTGTATTATCAACCCTTTTTTGGACTCTTACGGTTGACCAATTACTGTATAAGATGGCAGAACTTCGCATCTACACACTGGGTTATGCTGATGACCTTGTGGTTATTGTGAAGGGTTTTTGCCACATCACTCTATCATTAATCATACAAAGAGCTCTAAACACCATTAATAACTAGTGTGAGTATAACAGTTCATCAGTTAATGCTGATATAATTGTTAAAATACCAAAAAGAGAAGATTGGACACATTAGTCACGCCAAAACTTATTTTAATTTTATTTTAATATCTTTATTGCGTCTTCTAAAAAAATGATACAAACGGTGGACTTAATGCCTAAAGGCATTCTCTACCAGTCAACCCATGGATTGATGAGAGTTTGTCGCAATTGTAGCAATTAAAATAAATAAAAAGAAACTAAATTTAACACACATTATATGTAACAAAACAGATTATGATATGATATTGTAAGTGCATATATACCTAGTCAGGTCATAAATTCTGTCACATGTTTAATATAAAATAATTGAAACAAGTTTATTCATTATGTAACCATTTATATACCAAAATGAACGTAACAAAACATAGATTCTTATGACACTCAAGTTTATTCAAAATGACCTTCTTGATTTTGAATACAGGCCTTCAATCTGCGCGGCCAGTCGGCTATCGCAGCACGAACGAGGTCCATGTCAATATCGGTGGCTGCCTTAATCAAGGATGTCTTGAGTGACTCCAAATTGGGATGAGGCTTTGAGCACGCCTTTTCCTCCAAGTGTTGCTATATCTTGTAATCTAACGGATTCAAATCTGGACTGGAGGAGGGCCAGTCTTCGTGCCGGATGAAGTCGATTTCACGCGCCGCCAGCTAGTCTTGTGTGCTCTTCGCTCTATGAGCTGGCGCCGAATCTTGTTGGAATACCCAGTGCCTGTTATTGAACATGGTATGAGAAACAGGTTCCACAAGGTTTGTCAGGTCTGTATTTTGATACACAACTGCATTCGTTTTTACACCTTTCTCACAAAAATATACCTCTGTGAAGCCCCAATAAGAAACTCCCAACCATACCATGAGCGAGGATGGAAAATGACCTCGTTGGACACGCGGAATACGGTTGGTCGCTTCTTCACTACTGTGTGCGTACACTTTATCATTTTGTTTGTTGTAGCTCTCTTCTACGGTAAAAAATTTTTCATCCGAAAAAAGAATTTCCCGATATTTTTTCCCGCGTACCGCTTCAACAAAGCGCGGCATCTCTTCAGTCTCAGGTCCATTAGACGAGCATTCAAACGATGTCCTGTTTTTCTTCGATATGCCCGAAGCCCTAAGTCTTCATTTAATACCCCTTTCACCGTGGTTCTGCTTAACCCCATCTGAAGGGCCAACAGTTTCTGCTTACGTTTGGGATTTCTTTAAATTCGCGCCTTCATAGCTTTTATCACTGCTGGAGTCCTAACAGACCGAGGGCGACCACTTCTTGACCTGTCATCTACACTAGAATCTTCATTGTATCGTTTCTAAAAAGTATACAGTTTTATTATCATGAACAAATCGAAATTCGAATTCAATAAACTTTTTTGTGGCCAGCATTCTAAAAGAAAAGTTTTTACTGTGTGACAATACTTATGACCTGACTAGGTATATACCGGGTGTTTTTGAAACGCTCCCGAAAACAAAGACAGGCTATAGTACTAACGATAGCTTTGATCATGTGCAGGAAGAAAATTGATTCTGAGGTAAAAAAAAAATCATCTATTCACAACGTTTTATTAGTTTTATTCACGCTTCATCATGTTAGCACAGCTAAATGAAACGATAATTCTATAAAAAAAAACATATAAATACTTAAACATAAAACCAGCAGTGGAACTTAAATAAAATCAGCTGATCATAGGGTTATTGACCCTATTGTCGCGCAGAATTGACGCCGTATCCATGCGGCCCGCAGCCAGCGATCGTACGACCGCTAGCTGCGGGTAGTACTGCAAATACGGCCATACTGCAATACCTAATTATTTACAACAGTTATCTAAATACCTAACTTATTTACCTACTTAAGCTACTATTTTGTCACTGTGATAGTCTTAACCTAGCCACTTTATTTCGAATTCACAAATTAAATAAACCAAATACAATTATTTAAAAAAAATTAACAACCAACCAACGCAAGCAACCAACAAAGGCATGCTTTTTTATCCGTCGCGTAGGTATGTTTATTATTCTGATGTATTCAGTTATGTACCTATTCTGATCAGTTCAGTACAAACTTATTTAAAAAAATTTTAGGTATGAAACAGCTTACCGCTCTAAATTCTCCGTGCCCTTATTAGATATGGCTCAAATTGAGCTCCATTCATTTCAAAGCAGACTTGGGCTCGATGTTGCGTCTCCTCATACAGGCGGGGCATCATCGTGTGGTCTTCGACACAGTTCGTACGTAGTTTGTCGAAAACATCCACGATTCTTTGGCGCAATTCATCAGCACTTACGATTATATACTATATACTTACGATTAAAAACCCTTTCCTTCACATACCCCCACAGAAAGAAGTCTAACGGGGTCAGATCTGGTGAGCGAGGTGGCCAAGCGTGTGGTCCTTGTCTGCCAATCCAGTGATCATCAAATAATTCGGTGAGGCGCGCACAGACGAACCTCACGACATGTGGAGGTGCACCATCATGCTGGAACCATGTGCGGCGATATTCAACCAATGATAGGTCGTCTAAAATGTTAACCAACTGTTTATTTATAAAGTTTAGGTATCGCTGTCCGTTAAGTCGCTGTGGCAGAAATACTGGTCTCAGTATGCGATCCTTAAATAAACCTGCCCATACGTTAACCGACCATGGGGTTTGGTGCTCGGTTAGTCGAACAGCGTGCGGGTTAACCTCTGTATACACGTGTGTATTTCTTCGGTTCCACAGGCCGTTTCTGGTAAATGTCGACCCATCCGTCCAGATAATGTGCTCAATGGAACCAGGCAAACGTTGTTGCTGGTCTAACAACCAACGGCAAAAAAACTCGTCGGCGGTCATGATCGCCGGGAACTAAAGCTTGCACTTTGTGCAATTTCATACCGACGAATGACATCTAAAATGCGCTCCTCGGAGTGAACAGCCACTTAACTTCCACCTCCTACCGCTACCGGAGCAATGGGCCGATTTTCCAACACTCGCAGAAATGTTGCTGTTTTCAGACGAGAGTCAGCTGGGTGTCGAGCGATCAGGAATTTCTCTCGGTAAATTCGTAATGCAAGCAAAGCATTCCCTCAAGCTTCTTCAAGGCACATTAACATGTTGCCGTATTATTAAAACAAAAAAAAACAAAAAACGGAACAACAAAAAAAATACCAACACGTAATAACAAGTTATACCAAGTAATAACAATAAGAATTTAATAAACAAAACGAAAGAACTCTTGCTCGCGCACGCGTGTACAAAATCAACACGAAACTGTCTCAATAACTAAAATTTAATAAACCCCGCCAAAAGTGAAACCTACTGCGTCCACAGCGTGAGGTGACACCAGCCGGCCGGGTTAGGCATTGTTTCGCACTGGGCTAGATACAGGTCGACAGTAGAGGGAGTGTGGCACAGTCGTGTTCTAAAGTACTACATGGTATTAGGCTATTGTTTTATAATAATATAGTTATTAATTGTTTTATTGACGAATCATAATAGGTGTTTTACTAACTACTTAGAACTTTTGAAGAGGTTGGATTTAAAAATGGATAATGTTGACTTGAGCATTATTTGTTATTTCTATCGTAAAATATAAAGTAGTTTGTAACAAAAAAACTTAATCTAAGGGTAACACGCCGCCCATTATGTCGTCTTGGGTCACATGGAAGCCAGATGTCGATGGTGTGTTGGTGTGGATGCTACTTCATTATCACCTTCATCTTCGCTTGAGCTTCCGTCATTAGGTCGATCACATGGTAATTTATTCGGTATTCTTCCTCAATACTTTTAACTTTACTGCACAATTTTCCCCATTAACCTTCTCCTATCATATTTACATTTTCGTTCACTAGTTCAGTCATAAAACTATAGATATAAATAATTTTTCTTTCGTTCCTCTTTAAAACCATCGTCGCGAGTCGCAAAGTAAGCGCGGAAAGCATGACCCAATAGCATGCGGGCACAGTAATGCTAGTTGATTGTTCCCCCGTCGCGCCCCCTTCGTACCACTCAGTGATAAATCGCTCAGTGCCCAGGTTCAAGGCCAGCGTTCTTTTTACGTGACGGTGGTAACGGGACCTATAAGAGTTCGGCGTTCACACGTACATTGACTTCTAGTCAGCTGATTGCAGTTCAGTAATTTCACTGCTGGTTTTATGTTTCAGTATTTTCATGATTTTTTTTATGATATCGTTTCATTTAGCTGCACTAAGATGATGCAGCATGAATAAATCTAGTAAAAAGTTGTGAAAAGATGATTTTTTTTCATCAGAATCGATTTTATATTTCACCTACCATCAAAGGTATAGTTGGTACTGTCGTCTGTCTTCGTTTTCGGGAGCATTTCAAAATTACCCAGTATATTCGTACATTTGCATATATTAACATATATTTATAATGAAAATATATTCATATGCTAATAAACGTATATAAATACACATATTTGGATATAAAAATACATAAATACAAAATTATGACTATTTCAGAATAATGTAATTTTAATGATTCTTCAGTAAGAGCTCGCGTACCATCTTTGTAAAGTGCCTAACAAATACTCCTTATTTGTTAGGCGCTTTTCTGATATCATCAAGCATGGTGTTTAGGCCCAAAAATGGTAATTTGAGACGCTATCCAATCACGTTCAAATTAGTGAATCGCCCGATGGTACCAGGTGTTATGCGTGTCGCGGGGAGGGGAAACGGAATGCAGCCTATTTCGGTGGCCGCTGCAGAGGTTTCGCGAGACCGGTTTTCTTGGGTTATGGTCTAGGTTTTTAGAATTTGTGCGCGTTACTTCGCTACTGGATTGTGATTTCGTGAAAACCGCCTCGGTTTAGTTGTCTAAGTTATAAGTTCGTGACAAGAGGCTTGTATTGTGTTTAACTGATTAAAGTAATTTCTTTTGAAAGTAATTGAGCCAATTATCTAGTTATTGCGTGTTGAAGTGTATTTTGCAATATTTAACTTGCTCGTGTGACGTAGAATTTTGCGCGCGCGCCGAGTAGAGATACGGTCTGGAATTTGAACAGCGCATTCCTTTTCGAGGGCGTCGCCCAGTTGATTGTTTTGGAAATCATTGTAATTGTGCCGTCGCGTTAAGTGCCCTTTTTTGTGAGTTGACTGTTTTGTTCGTTTTACGTGTCAACGAGGCGGATTTTGAATTCTTATCGCGGCGTAGTGTTGTTAGGCGGTTATCACGTGTTTGATGCTACGATGAACGTTGAATTAGTTGAGTTGAAGTTAGTTAAATGTACAATAAAGTTGAAAGACTGAAATAGTGACATGAAGAAAGAAATTTTAACGGTGGTAGAGCCACGCAGCAGTTTTTGCTGTTGCATGTATGGGCCGGCTCGAGCCGGGTGGGTACCACGACCTCACAGAATACCGGCGTGAAGTAGAAGCTTTGCTTCTACGTTTCGTCTGGTGAGTGCAGGTGGCTGGAGGCCCAATTCCCCCCCCCCCCCCCCCCCATCAACATGGTAGCGGAATTACACGAAGAACTACCCCAGGAGGGTACCAGCACCCCTGGAGAATCCCTCGCTGAGGATCCACGACCATGTCATTCCGATCCTGAGCGTGGGTGCTCAGGCTGCCCCGCGTATTCTGGGGGGGGGCAAAATTCCGCTCAAAAGCATTACTGCTTGGGGCAAACTGAGCAAGAACACCAAGGCGACCCCTGCCACGCTATCCGTGAATTTCTGCAACATCAGGGCACTTCACTCTAACCTAAACGCCGTCCACTACCATCTCGAGACGGCGAAGCCGGCCTTGCTCTTTCTGACCGAGACGCAGGTTTCCTCTCCGGCTGATATTTCGTATCTCTCCTACCCGGGGTACAAATTGGAGCATTCCTTTGTGCCTCGGGCTGGAGTTTGCGTGTATGTCAGAGAGGACATCTATTCTCGACGCCTCGGCAGTCTTGAAGGTTCGGACCTGTCCATCCTTTGGCTACGCGTAGACAGCGACGACCATCCCCGCGTCTACGGATGCCTCTATAGGTCCCATAGCGGTAATGCCGAAACAGACCGACTCATTGACCACGTCCAAATGGCTACAGATTTCTTGCTACAACAGGTCCCATCCGCAGAGATCGTGATCCTTGGCGATTTTAACGCCCACCATGCCGAATGGCTCGGTTCACGTCTAACCGATCATGCGGGGAGATCTGTTTATGACTTTGCCTTGGCATATGGTCTGACACAATTGGTTACTTCACCTACGCGGATTCCAGATGTGGAGGATCATACACCTTCCCTGTTGGACCTTCTGCTGACCTCTCATCCGGACGGATATCAGGTTTCCGTCGATGCCCCTCTCGGCTCTTCGGACCATTGTCTGATCCGGAGTGTGGTGCCACTCACGCTCCCTTCGCGGTTGCGTTCTGCAAGTTGCCGCCGTGTTTGGCATTACAGGTCGGCGGATTGGGACGGAATGCGGTCCTTCTTTGCATCCTACCCATGGGGGCGGGTTTGCTTCTCGCCGGATGATCCCAGCGCTGTTGCTGACTCTGTCACTCATGTGGTGCTACAGGGAATGGAACTATTTATTCCATCATCTGTGGTACCCATCGGAGGCAGATCTCAGCCTTGGTTTGGTCGCTCCTGTAAGACTGCATTACGCAGTAAGCAGGAGTGTTATCAAGCCTGGGCTGCGGCTTCGGCGAATCGGGATGTAAATACCAGCACACTTAAAAAGAAGTATAATTTCGCCTCCAGGTCCTTCAAAAGAGTTATTGCCAAGGCAAAGTCAGAGCACATAGGCAGAATTGGCGAGAAACTAGTTCGCCTTCCTTCGGCAACCCGTGCATTCTGGTCTCTCGCCAAGGCTGTCCAAGGGAATTTCTGTAAGCCATCACCACCATCTCTGCACAAGGAGGATGACTCACTGGCCCATGACGCAAAAGACAAAGCCGACCTTTTAGGCTCCCTTTTTGCGTCCAACTCGACTCTTGATGACGGGGGGAAAACACCGCCGACCATCCCGCGGTGTGAGTGCTCCATGCCGGATATGCTCTTCTCACAGCGCTCGGTTCGCAAAGCACTGCTCTCCCTGGACATCCAGAAGTCGAGTGGGCCTGACGGAATCCCCCCAATTGTGCTGAGGACGTGTGCTCCGGAGTTGGCACCGGTCCTAATGCGTCTTTTCCGGTACTCCTACTCCCAAGGCGTAGTCCCGAATTCATGGAAGACAGCTTTTGTCCACCCGATCCCTAAAAAAGGCGACCGCTCAGACCCATCCAACTATAGGCCTATCGCGATCACCTCCTTGTTCTCCAAAATAATGGAATCTATTATTAACTGCCAGCTCATCTGGTACCTTGAGGATCACCAGCTGATTAGTGACCGCCAATACGGTTTTCGTCGGGGTCAGCTGGTGATCTTCTGGTCTACCTGACCCATAGATGGGCGGAGGCAGTAGAGTCCAAGGGGGAGGCGTTGGCCGTTAGTCTGGACATTGCGAAGGCCTTCGATCGGGTTTGGCACAAAGCGCTTCTTTCGAAGCTCCCTTCCTATGGGCTTCCCGAGAAATTGTGCAATTGGATCACCAGCTTCCTTGCAG